GTAGGCAAATCATCGTTATGGGCCCCACCACCTTGCCTCTGATCCCTCCGAGCGGGTCGATTGTGGGGGCCCCTTCCTTGATTATTGGGAACCAAGTGTTGGGTCCACCGGGTGGTTAGCCCTGTGGACCCACGGCCGGCACCGGAGGGAGAATGGAGGTCTCCTTTCCGGGTGCGCCTGGGCTGCCGGTCCGGTTTTGCACCAGTTGCTCGGGTAAGTGGTGTCGCAACTCACCAAAGGCCAAGGGTGTCAGTGGCCATCCCTGCTTATTATCATTATTATTATTATTATCATTATATGTACTGCTTTGCATCGGTTGTTTGGAATCCCCAGAATTATGTTATGTTATTCTTCGATTGTCCAATGTAATTAACAAAAAATTTAAATTTACATTCTTTTTTCTTAAAGCCCACTTGAACTAAACTTATAAAGTGGGTTCTCTATTGGAGAGAGTTCTGTTTAAACTACGCTATTTTTTAGAGTTTATCAAAAACAAACCTGGGTTGAATTGTATCACTGGTTGCCTGCAGCAGAGGTTGCGCAGTAAGCGCTTCTCGTCATACGCTTAGCCATTCTTAGTTCGAGAGGTTTACATGTTAACATGTTCGTTAACACAACCTCCTCTACGTACATGTCCAGAGGGGTCAGACCAGTGCAATTCCATGGCCGCGGTTGGTGTTGTTCTCATGACTCCTGTGATGTTCCAACAAGCCAATATCGCTGTATTTGATATAATTTTTGGATGGCCGTTGCTTGTAGAACTTTCGGTCCTCATGCAATGGCTTTGTACGTTAACATAGGTCTCATTATTGCAGTGTAGATTCAAGTGACTACATGGGGTGAAAGACCCTATGCGCGACCCACTGTCCTCCTACATTGCTCATAAGCCACATATGCTCTTTTGCTCTACTCTGTAGGTGATAGTTGCATGTTAGCTTCCTGTCGGGGATAGTACCAAGATATTTCACCTCTACAGAGAGGTTTAGTTTGCTTTCATTTGCCTGGGCATTTTATTCAACTTGTTCCCTTGAAAAAAATGTACTCCTACTCTTGTGAATAAAATTATTATTATCATTCATCAATTTATCTACGAGTTCTACTTTGTGTGTCTAAAAAGAAAATATTCAAACACTATATTGGACATTTCTTGTACAATTTTTAATGTTACGATTACAACGATCAATAAAAAAATGTCAACTTGTTCATTCACCTTCTATACTTCCTCCATCACTTGCCTCAATTGGCGGTTGAGATTCTGTCTCTTGCATATCCGATTCAGGCTGTTGCGGTTCCCGAGGGGTGATCATGTCCGTTTCTTCTAGAAGTTCAGCTACTGTAACAGCATCTGTGGCACGGTCAAACGCTGAATCCAGAATTGACTGTAGAGCAGATGAAATCACTGCACTTGTGGTGCTGGTTCTTTCAGTGGTCCTTTCTTTCGATTGGGAAGTTTCTTCAGTTTCTTTCACTGCATAATCTACATCACCGAAGTTTACATGTGGAATGACGGTGTCGTAGTTGATTTTGACACATTTCGAATCGGACAGTTTGGGTTCTTGTTGATCCTGCTCAATTTCCTCGGATGCGACTGATTCTTCTGTTTCTTCTGGCCCGGTTTCGATTACTTCAGGTTCTTTTTCTTCGTATAAATTCCTGTTCTCGACGTTGAGTTTTTTTATCATTTGACGGGTGTAATATCCCTTGTATGCTTTCTTTATTAAAGTGGCAGCTCTGTTTGCCTCTTCATTTGTGACACCTGTTCGTCTGTAAAGCTTGATTGCGCTTCTTGCAGCAAGTCGCCAGTCTATAATTCCACTCAGTAACTCTTTCTCTTTTTGTTTTCTCCGTTTGAAGTTTTGATATGCGTGTTGTATGATAATTGCGGCTTGCTCGCCTTTTTCTGGGCTGATTTTTGCTTCGTCAATGATGTCTGATATTATGTTGACTTCCTCTACTTCTTCCGACAATCTGTCGAATGCAAATGATTCTTGTTCCTGTACGTGCTTTTTGAAAGTTTTCTGGATGATGCTGACGATCTTATCAGCTTCGGCTCTTCTCATCCCCGTAGCCTCCAGAAATTCACAAGTGGTCGTCGTTATATCCGTTATACTCTGTACCAATCTAGCAGCTACTCTCGCATTTTCTCTTGTGATAAGCAGAGCTTCTAAATAATCAGCAATGAATGTATACACATCTTTTGGCTGGCTTCTCAGTACTTCTCTGGAAATATCGCTCATCAGTTCTCTCAACCCGTCAGGGACAATATAAATGTATTTTGCAGCATGTCTTTGCATCATTACATTCATTTTCGGTTGATGGAAATTTATTTCGTGGAGAAAACTACCTACTTGTCAGATGAGACAGCGATATGTCACTTCATTCATTGATAACATCGGTGAAAACAAGGAATTGAAACAATTGTGAAGGTTGAATTTGAATACAATAAGTACCTCACGGCATTATTGATTGTATCATACAGGGTACAGCACGATGACCGTCGGTTAGCCGTATTTTGGGAAGTGATAGGATCCATATCCTGAGAACTGGCAAACTGAATTAAAACAGGTTTCATCTTCCTCTTTGAAGATGATCACTTGGTGATCGAAACACGTGTCGAGGTGTTAAAAATAACGATTTGATGTTGGGAAAAAACTCCAGTAATATCCATTACTACACCAAAGGTTCCAAATAGTGCATCATAAATACTATAAAATAGTTGGGAAATTATCATTGAAGTGACAATATGGTAATGAAAATAAAATTGTATTTGAAAGCATTCCAATAAAATAAATTTCATTGAAGCTACAGGAAACAGTTATAAAATAAGTTTGAAATAGTTTTATAACTATCATAAAAATCTCACAGAGAAGTGTTACTTGAACTGCTACATGACAATTTACTTTTATAGGAAAATAAGTTTTATAATTCAGTTGCAAAACCGTTTCTGTGATAATTTTCTGACTATTTTATAATGGTTTTT